CTGCTGAAGCTCACTGCAAGCCTTAATGAACTGAAGAGACAACAAAACACTGTAACAAAAAAGACCTGAAACAGTACTTAAAAAATAAACTCAAGCATTTCATATAAAGATACTAGGTGACATAAAATATAGAAAAGCAATACAAGATTTCATTTGAGCAGCTGCATTTTGTAGAATTTGCATGTTTGTTCATGCATTTTGATACAGGAAGTTGTCTTAGAGCAAAAAAGTATGTTACAATACTGCTACATCTCCTTCAATATCCTGCACATTACAGCAAGTAGAAAAACTCACTTGGCACAGAAGTGTAACAATTTGCGTATCTATCTTCAAAACATCATAAGAAAACAGAATGACTGTTCTTATTTTATGAATTTTAGAATTCATATGACGTAGGCGTTCAGTTTCTGCTAGAGATAATTTATTTTACTACTGAACTAATTTCACATAGAAAAGCCATAAATATTAGCATAACTTGAATTATACTGTGGGAATTATTTGGGAAGTATTTTACATTGAATTTCAGAAATGTGAAACCAAAAAATATTCCAGATTTATTTTCTTAAAAGGAAGAATGAAAGAAACCAAAGTACATCAAAACTTCTGAAGATTTACCTACCTGTAACTTCTGTGGTGTCAAGCACCAAGAATGAATTTGTTGCTGTACAGGAGGATGTGACACTGTATGGCCACTGCTCCAAACATCTGAAGTACTCTGAGAGAAAACATTACATTAAAATGCATGACTATCAAAAGGTCAACATAATTTATTTTACTATCTAGATTTTATCTTACTTATGAAAGAAATAGTAATTGTTTCAAGAATAACAATATAATCAAGAACATAGTAAGGCATTCCAAGTCTCATTTTACCATTCCTATACTGTATCAGAGTAGTCAGAGGAAAAAGTTAAACGATATCTAGTATCATAATGAGAAACAATACAATCAAATTAGGCAATTAAATTAAATATACACTACTTTTAATACTGAATACTGATCCACTGTAACACTATTACATGATGATGAAACACTTCTAAATATAAGCAAAGGCAATAGACAGGATGACATGATTATCTCCCTCTCTATCATCACACTATGATTGTACTTACTCATTTTAACAACTATGTTTGTAGTATAAAGCCACATATCTACGCTTCCCTTATGCACCTCCTGTTTGAATTGTAATTTGATTAAATACATCACTGAGAACTATTTTTCAAAATTCCTAAAAACATTCCCCACCTTGATGCCAAAGGATTAAAATTTACAGCACAAATTCTGTGCATGCTGCATCACTTTAATGCATATTTCCATATAATTTTGATAGGGGGCTCTTTAGTTCATCAGAATATATACCTTTGTTGGACTAGATGTTCTTTTCCTCTTGGCAGGACTGGTCAGGTCATCTACTTGGCTAGAAGGAATCATGTGTAGTGGCAAGGATTGCTGTGAAATTGGTGTTTGAGTGAGGCCTAGTACAGGTTCAGTATTTGGATGATGAGGTTTACAAGCCTAAGAATCACAGAAGGAAGACAAAAATATGGTTCTATATATTCTTAATTCTTTCCTTTTAATAATATATTTTAACAGCCCACATATATTAAAAGGGCCGAGTAGATAATCTGAAGATGATCTCAATAACTGAAAAATCAGTTTCCATATGGTCATCAATGGAGGAATGTGTACCTTTCATGAGATTATTAAACCACTGCAGCATTTCTATTTAAGATGAAAACTTTTAAAATCATGAAAATCCACAAAGGTTCTAAATTGGTACCCCCATATTTCTCCCGTATTATGGGGAGCTTCTTGATCTATTATCCCTCTGCAAATAAATCAAAGGCTTTTTATTAATAAAAGCCAGTCCTGTGCTCAAGAAAATAAGCTTGACCACTACCGATTGTAAAGAACCCTTAAAGCTGGGCACCTGCAGAACATAACCCAACTTCTCACCTGCTGTGCTGTGTTCATGGCACCCTGCCTGGAGGTAAGCTCTGCGGGGATTGGTAGGCTCCATGCCTCCTCAATACTAGGAAGTAATTTAGTTTTATTCTGTAGACTACCTTGTGGAAGGTTACACAACTGAGCCTAGGAAAAATTATGTAAAAAGCAAATTTAACACAAGCCTACTTTAGTAAGAGCAAGTCCATGAAATCTTCCTAAATGCTGTAGCTAATTATGTCTTAAAGAGAGGATAGATTTAAAATTTGGGTTTTTAGAAAGGTGCTAAGTATAAAGAGGGTAACCAGAATATAAACCTTTGTGACAATCAGAACAAAGAGGAGCTCTGGATTCAGAGGTCTCATAATTCCTTTTTTCTGAAATTGCAAACAAGAGTGAAAGATAGTGTGTGTGTATTCTCTCTCTATGTTATGAGAACTTAAAAATGTAGACAATACAAAGAAAAGAGTAAAGTGATGTAAAACAGTATGCTTTGATTAAATGTGCAAAATAGAGTTTATAAGGAATTAAGTTCCACTTAAAAATGAAGAAATAAAATATTAAAGGCTATGATATGCTTACAATACACATGAAAACAGGTTATACACACCACAAACAACTGAAAGTTTAACTTATGTGTTTACTTCTCCCCTCCCCTCTGCTGTGTATCTGGAAGAGTACTTCTCACTTCTTAAAATGTTCGTTTTACCTGTAAGTACTTTATCCGTGCTGCAAGTGCAGAGGTATTACTACAATTTTTGCTCCTAGTTGCATTTAAGTAGCATTTAATGGCATCCTGAGGCTGGTTACAGGACTCATAGAGCGTGCCTAGGTCCATCCAGGCTGCAGCATGGCCATGGTCCAATTGTACAGCACAGATATAGGCCTGTAAAGCATCCATAGGCTGATTTTGCTGTTGATACAGCACACTGAATAGAAAGATTAGTGAAGTCGAGAATTAATAACAAAGTCCAAATAGAAACAAGTCAATTATCCACAACCCCCTCAAAACCCATTAGAACCCACTATACAAAGCACAGTAATAAGCATAAACAACACACGAAATCTTAACATGCAAAGCTCATACAAATAACATTCCATATTTAAAAAGACTGAGAAAACAAATATAAATTTACTATGTAAACTTCAAATCAGACAAATCTGACAACATGATGGTATAAATAAAAAAGCTTTAGGGGCTCCTTAAGAACACAAAATAGTAAAAAACCCTTGTATTCTTTATGCATATATATTAGCATTGAATTACATCACATCACTGTATTACCCTGTATCATTCTTACCCTATAGAACACCATGTATCTGCACTTGCTTCTGATTTATCAATAGATTGCCTATAAGATATAAAGGCATCCTGAACTTTCCCAATACTTGAATAGCACCTGGGAGAAGAAAAAAAGAACTTTGGTAATAATTACAGAAGGGAATAATTGAGAATGACTTACCAAGACTGATCTGATAAATGTTAAGTCATGCAAATACACACTCATCTAGATGAATCCTAAAACATTTGCTGTATAATCAGTCTCAAAAAGCATAATCAATATGTATTACTTATTTTTTTATTTAAAAAGTACACAAAAACTGCTTAAACTATAGCTAATGGTATTTGTAAAGAAAACAGTTACACTGTATTTTAAAGATTTACATTTACTTCACATGTGATAACTCATTGGACAGTAATAACATGATTTATCTAGAGATAGCATTATAAAGAAACAATCAAGTTACCCATTTCAAAGAAATTGTTATGAAGCTTCATGATCTACAAGGAGCATTTCAGAAATGTTGAGAGACTGACTGATTCAATTGGGATGGTTCCAGACTGCCTCAAAAGCTTTTTATGTGCATTTCTCACATTTCAATAACATTTTCAGTAATGAACAACAAACCAGTAAGTTTTACTGCATATACAAAGCATGAAATTTTGTAAAAATATATTGTTATTCTTGAGTTTCTCATAATTTCCTGCTTAAATATTTTTCACACACAAATTCAAAGGTATTTTGGAATGATTAGCAGAAATACCAGAACTCCAAGGATAACTACAATTATACCACAGGGAATAATACCTACCTTTTTAAACAAAAGGTTTCAAATAAAAACAATATTGAAATGACACATACACATTTACTAGTTTAATCTACAGTAAATCTGCTTCTTATATTGTTTGTAATATATTTCCTTGTTGGACAAAGAACTGACAACTTTCAAAACATGTAAATAACAACAGAAAATTTATTCTAGCAAAAAATAAAAACCAAGTAGAACAGTACAGACAATAGTTTATCAAACATGCTACACTCTTCCATATATTCTTGAGGCACACTAGGAAAGAAATACAATAAAGTCTAGCAGTCCTTTGCCTAAAAACATCCATTAAGTCTGAATACAACATTTTCATTTTAATCATAATCTAAACCAAGTTCCAACTGACACATTTCCATCTGTCTGCTTATCAGATACATGAAAACTCTGACTAGGAGAGCACTAACATTAAGCACTTAGCAAAACCTGGAACAGGGTGATGGATTTTCTTCAGTGAGAGAAGACAGTGGTGGTCGTTCTATTTTTGAAAATTATCTTAACTTGCTATCCAGGTTAGACAATCAGCAGAGGAAGGAGTAACACAAGGGAATACACAAAGAGTAAGAAAGAGGAAGGGTAAATATGCAACCCTGTAACCCTGTTCCTTTTCCTCTTCTCCTGCCAGCATATGGACAGGAAGAATGGGCCTCAGAAACATTTTTGCTCTAGCCCCCCCTTTATAGTATAAGGTACTTCCACTAGATTTTTTTTCCTCCACTTCCTGTGTTTCTCCCCCTTGTTTGAATGGTCCTAGGTTTCATGCTAATCCCATGAAAGCTGTGGCCCAGTAGGAGCAGGAACATGGCAGTGATGCACATGTACTTTATGGACCCCGACTTCATCCTGCTACTGTGCAATAACTTAATTAGCTCAAGGCACATGGAACAGGACTACTGAGGAAAAAAACAGGATTTCAGCCCAGTGGATTATATGGCAGATAATCCTTCCCCTCTGTCCTCCACACCTGCTCTAGTCTTCTGCTTTTCATACTCAGTGCTGGTATTCCTCCTTTTAGCCTCAAGACAGCTGGTTGAAAAGCCCAGGAACAAAATTAGGATGACACAAAAAAATAATAAATAAAAAAAATTTAAAAATAGGGTCCAGTTGTATGTGACCAGAACCTCCAAGAATGTCAGCTGGAAGTTACCAAGGTTAGGATATTAATTTTATTTTTGCATAATCCCATTCTAATGCATAACTCAATAGAACTGACCTTTTCACATACAGATTTGAATTGTCCTCAAAGTTTTCTCCAAAACCTGATTATTCCAAGAGTTACTGCTGTAGAGTCATAAAGTGTGTAAAGTATTCTATTTTCATAAAAAGGATACTACGAAATGTGATCAAATTTATATTATTCACATCTTGAAATAAGCTCATTTTCAGGTAAAAAAATACTGTCTGACAGTACAGAATTAATATAGCACTTAAATAGATATTACAATGCTTCAATATTAAATATCTTGGCCTAGTATTTAGAAAGAAGGGGAAGAAACACAGAGCGTAGAAGATGTGGCAGTAGGAGGAGGAACAGGTAAAACCAGGCAGAGCAGACTACTGTAAATATGTAGACTGAATAATAACCACAAAAAGGAAGAACCACTTGCGAAACATACTTCTTTCCAATTTCTCAACTATAATTATCCCACATATGTTAGCACCTTGTCTTTTTACACACTTAACAGAAAACTAGACTTCAGTAGATATATGCAACTTTTCCCTTCATTTTTCCTCTGAAAGTATTAAGAAAAACAACATGAAACAGTCACAATAATGAGCATCCTCAAAAAAATTACAAATACAGTTACAGTGTCTAAAAAGAAATTTCTCACCTTCCAAGGAAATACCAGGATTGACCAGAATTTGGATCTGCTTCTAGAGATTTCTGGAGATACTGTATAGCATAGCTTTCCTTGGTTGCCTTGTCTCCAAGCTGATCCACGGTGTGATGCATCCAGCCTAGAAAAATAAAAATAAATGGTGAAGGACATTTCACACTTAGGCACAGCAGGATACTCACAGGATTAGCTCCTCTTTAAAAATAGGAACATCAAACAATAATATCACCTACATATAGTATTATGAATGAAACTTTTACAACTTTCGAGTTCTATAATAAAATTGCAGGACAAAAGGACCAGAAGTCAGAATTACTTTCAGGTATATTTAAAGCAGGATTATTTTTCCAGTTTAAATAATTTTCTGTGAGGTTAGTAGCACAATTATAAATTGCAGAATTTTCTAGTATAAAAAATTAATCTGAAAATTTTAACTTCTTACTCCTCTGAACACAGATCCCTTCCTTGCCATTATGAAAAATGCCATCATTCTCCCTGTCTTGCACACCAATTATCTGTATATTATGTTCAGTTTACACCCTTTCCTCTAAATCCTAGTATTTATATTCCATATCTACATTTAGATAATTCCCAAGCAGATTACTGGTGATCATTTTTATATTTCCACTTAAATCTCATACATTGTCATTTCTTCTTCATTGCTGCAACATCCTTCCCATTCACCTTGACAAATACAAATATCTCTCATCTAAATAACAAATTCTGCTGAAAAGATAATTTTGTTTCGTGACCTAACCAGACAACATATTCTTTCAAATGCTTTTTTTTTTTCTTTCATTGCATCAGACAAATTATTAATCCCTACTTAAAAAACCTCCCATGATCCATGCTCTCATATTGTCTTTTACATGCCATTAAAACATGTCTCTGGTCTAGCACTGAGGGAAGGCTTTGTTAGCATTTCAGTTAAAGCACCTTCATCATCTTCTCAAGCTGCTCCTCATCTGCCTCTATGCTTAGATGGAATTCTTTTAAGCAGCCACAATATCATCTCACTGACATTCATATAATGAGTACAAGGAAACCCTTTGTAAGAGGCATCTGGCTTGCTGAAATCACTACATACCACACTAGTCAGAAATGTCTTGCTGTTTGCTTAATTTCTATGTATTTGTCCACTGCTTTTTAGCCAACATTTTCCTAATGTTAAGACGTGACAACAGATTGTCCCTGTGCTTTTATAGTGTCTTGCCCATAAATGGTCCCTTGTGGAACACTATGATATAAATTTCATAAAATATCCAAAGTTTTAATGAAGTTTTAGTTAAGTACAGGGTTATAACCACATCTGCACTAATGTCTTTTGAAAACCACCATCAGTTGAAATTCAGCACTCTATGTTACGGTTTTTGACACGGTCTGACTACACAAAGAGGTAATAACAGTCAAAAGATTGAGATGAAATTCAGATCTCGTCTGAAATGGCAGAGAAAGTAGGTGAGGCTGAAAACTGAATTGATTAATATTTGCAGCCATACTTCATTCTCTGCAATTAGACTATACCTGAAATATTTTATTCTACCTGCTCTATACCGCTTGTATTTTATTCCATTGGCTTATCATTTGTTAACAGTAACAACAACACTGTTGCAATTCGAAGGCAAACTTACAAGTTTTAGAAAAGGCACTCTAAAAGAAAACTGTATCTTTGGAACAATGTTTGCCTGAGGTGTTTGAAGTACTATCACTTGGAAACTCTGGACACAAGCAGAAGTTGGGCTGTTTCATGGACTGAAAAAAACGTCAGGTTAGGAGCCAAGTGGTTACAGTGCTGACAAACAGGTACTTTATCTTGTCTGAAGATGGATCAAATCAAAAACGCAGCAAAACGCCAATAATTTTTCAATGGACATATTAACAGGCTCAACTTTATCTCCTAAAGAAACTATGTTTTTGATTTAAATCCCAAGTCACAGAAGTTCTTAAGCATATAGAGCTTACACATGCTTTAAGAAAAAAAGGTTTATGTCAGGATGGTTATGAGAATGCACCAGCCTGATAACTGTACACTACAGATAAATGTGTCTGGTGCAGTGCCAGGCAAAACCTGAGATAAAGGTAATAGTTCAGGGATTATAAACATGGGTAAAAAAAAAAAAACTACACGATTTCCTGAATATTTGGAAATGTTCTGTGGTGATGTCTACTTTTTGTTTCATTAGAACATAGCTAGATTCAAAGATAACATGTCATATCTTCAGGAGATCTTTGTTGAGGTTCACTGTTAAGAAAAGAGAATCTATTTCTAGGAAACAGAAACAAGAACTAGTGATCCCTATCTAGTTGCACTGCTTGAAACAAAGGTTGCTTCCCAATTTTATCTTCCTGCACAGAGAGGCAAGAAAGGCAGAAGGCAAAAGAGAGGAAGAAGGAGAACAGTTTTCCTCTATAATAGCACTGGTAAAGGAAACTGGATCTCTCCTCTCATGAATAAACTGAAGAATGTACACAAAGAAGGTGATGGAAAAACCTGGTAAGATGTGCAGTTTCCCATCTTTAAGACCTAACTCAAATTCTCAAATAGCACATTGATTCTATGATACAGTTCTTCCACTCTTCGGCCATTTTTAACATAATGAACAAATATACAACTTTTGTCCATTGTCTCGGCATGAGGATGTGCTTTTCCAGCTCATGCTGCAGGGTTTTTTCACACTTAACTATCACTCTCATGCTAAATTCGTGGCAACTGCTTTTTCCCCCAACAAACATCTCAGTCTATGAAGAGATGAGCCTCTTCCCCACCTTCCTGATGTATCAACCAATAAAAATGCCCCTAGCCAAAAATTACTGTGAGAGTGCTTTCAGAACCTCTAAGCAAATGCATAGTTCTTGCACTCTTTCTTATGCAACTGCTGACTAGAACTGGAGAAAGAATATGAGTAAAGGACACACAAACTTCCCTTATCCAACTGCACACATCTTACTGCTACATCTACCCTTGGAGAGCATCCAGAGGAGAGCCACAACAATGATCAGGGGGCTGAAGCACTTCTTCCATGAAGACAGGCTAAAAGAGTTGCGGTTGTTCAGCCTGCAGAAGAGAAGGCTCCAAGGAGACCACATAGCGGCCTTCCAGTACCTGAAAGAACCTACAGGAAAGCTGAGGAGGAACTTTTTACAAGGGCATGCAGTGAGTGAAAGGATGAGGGGCAATGGCTTAAACTGGAAGAGAGGTTCTTCACTGTGAGGGTGCTGAGACACTTCCATAGGTTGCCCAGAGAATTTGTGGATGCCCCATCCCTGGAAGTTTTCAAGGCCAGACTGGATGGGGATTTCAGCAAAGTGGGCTTGTGGGAGGTGTGGCATTTGATACAGATGATCCTTAAGGTCCTGCCAACCCAAACCATTCTGTGATTCTACCCAAAACAGTCAGCCTGTGTCAGCTCAAATGGATACATATTTATCTGAGAACCACAGCATTCTCCTCCGCAGTGATCTGCTTTGGAAACAAGCAACAAGAGCACAGATCTTAATAATTCTCTCACAAGACAACTGAACTTGCCTAAATTTCAACTCTGGCTGAAAGAACATTAACAAGCTAAGGAAAATAACAAAGGATACTTTCATGCCAAAATGATTTCCCTGTTAAGAGTAAAAAAATTTTTGAAAAAATAGATATATCTATACACACACATACATATTGATTGGGTTTTGCCAGTAGCATTCTGGCCGATGGCAGGTATTTTCAATATTTTTTCTAAGCAGCAGTACACCTCCCAGACTATGCTTCCTGAGCAGGTATTTTTATCACCAGCTGCTAAATATGTGATAAACTCTATACTCTGAGAAATACTACTACTAACAGCAAAGAGCAAAATAAATTATATTATTCCTTGAAAGTTCTGGTTCAAACCACTCTGTCCATTTCTCATAGAAGCTACTCCCACTACACAACTAGGTAACCTATGCTGATTGAATGAAGGGAGTTAATTCATTTTTTAGAGAGCAGATAACTCTCAAAGTCATTGCTCTTTTTGCTAGCCCAGAGACCTGTGGTGTCATTTTATGAATACAACCATGCACCTTTGATTCCAACATAACAACATACATTAAAAGGATTTGAAAAAGCATTGGTCAGCTATTTTGGGAAGCCTGTCTTCCACTAATCATATGTATAGCCTTTCTGGATGAAATTGTTGAGAATTTATACTAGGTATGATAATACCAAGTTAAAAAAAAAGTTAACAAAAAATATCAAAGGAGATACTGAAATATAAACAACACAGCTGTGTGACAGCAAAAACATCTGCACCTGGAGTTCTACAGTGAACTCCTTCATTAGTGTTTTCACATAGAAGAATCAAAAGTTAAACACATTAGCCCACTCCAAATCCACACACAACCTGCATTACTAAACAAGAAAGCACTGTGACCATAGCTTAGTGCCAGTTACTAATTTGAATTAAATGATCACTATGTGAAGCAGGGGAAGGGAAATGGGCATAAGCAGGCTAAATCAATGTTTAGAATAATAAATTAGATGAAGAACATGGATAAAGTGAATGAAGAAGTTTTGCACTTGGTTGAACAATTTTAACAAAATATTCTGGAGATACTTTTATAAGGCATATAGAACAAAAGTAATTTGTACTACTCACCCATTAGATTAGAAATTCTGGTCTAAAAGTCATTTATCAACTTTCTGTAACTACTGAATATGACAATTTTAAAAAAAACCACACTTTTTTCTTTTTATGTGGTTTCTTTTATGGAATGTGGTTATAAACATCGTAGTTACAGAAATACGTTTTCATTATGTACTATAACTAAAGAGAAAGAAAAGGTAAACTTTTAATTTGCGATGTTCTTGTATTCTGTAACAGAGCTTTTTTGCTTTACTGCCTTTAGCCTGGCTACTCAACGGATGTTCTCAGAGGCAGAACAGTGAATACAGAATTCTAAGTGCTGCACTCCTTCTCTGAAGGACCACCTTCATTGCCCAACACCTGTAATGTACATACTGCAACAAGTCTAAGAGCTTTTTAACTCTGCGTTTAATTAATATATTTTCCTTCCCTCTTATTTACTTAATTATCTATTGTTACAGATTTTATTTTGGGTGAAAATTTCATGTATCAGTGTCTAAGACTCACTTTGGAAATGGAGCCTTAGAAAACTCTGCTGAAGGCAAAGATGAAAAAAATAAACAAACAGGAAATAAAAGTTAATTTTACATACCTAACTGCTGTAAGACAGTTGCTTTTACTTGTGCAGGAAGGTTTTCGATCTGCAAAAGTTGTTCATAAGCTTCCTTTGCAGAGTGATACTTTCTCTGCAAAAGGAAAAAAGTAAATGGATTAATCATAAAGCTTACAACACATCACCAGTAGCAATGATTTCACAGCACTGACAGCACACAAACACATTGACAAAGAATTCTATTAACTTTTTTTTGCATACAGTGCATATGAAAGCTTTAATGAGTGACGTATATATATGGTAAGAGAATAACTTTCATAAATATAGTATTTAATCTAAATTGACTACTTAAAATAATTGAGAAAAATTTGTGAATTGTTAAAGTTGGGCAACTCCTTACACATGCATTATGCTTCTCAAACTAAAATTAATACACTGCTTTTAAGGGGAATGCATGAATATGAGGTTACATCTGAAATAACCCTACACAAACTCCTCCCAGAAAATCTGCAATACAAATGAAGATCATCAGTAACGGGTGTATTTTGCCTCTCTCCTTCCTTTGGTATATTTGAACTGACTTTTCAACATACTAAGCTTACAGAATAAGGCTATGCCATCTTATTATTTGCTATATCATTTAAGTGTGCTTAATGTATGGAAACATTCAACATCCAATTCTTAGCTTCCTCTAAGAACAGGTCTCAATATAGAAAACTCATTTCTAAGTTAGGACTGCAGTCTTTATTGACTTTTGGAACAGTATAGGCTGGTTTATATATTAAAAGTTAAAACTTATTGAAAAATTCATTTTTTTTAAAATGCAAAGCTCAACATTTATCTTCACATTAACCTAACAGCAATTGTTTAACAGGGAATGTGTTTTAAATGCTTAACTCTTCTGTTCCTCCTCTCCCACAAAAGTCTAGAAGACAAACACTTAGTAAGGGTACTTCTTTTTATTTGTAGTTTCTAAAAATTCTATACAATTTTGAAAGAAAAATACACTTTCAGATAGCTCAACACTAGATTTCATTCTGGCAAACAAATGAAAAGTGTACTAAAATTAATGGAGCTACCTAAATTACACTTGGTTTATGCAAGGACTAGACAGTACTGGTGTTTTAAAAGGGGAAACTGGGAAGAAGACTCTAAACAATATAAACATCTATTAGGAGTTAAAATATATTATTAGGTTCTTGAGATCTCTCAATCACAAAAGACAACTTGATTTTAACACCTTATTCTAGTCAGGAAGAAAAATTAAAGCAGCAATTACATACTTTCAAATGGAACAAGGGGAAGTTGGTAGAAAAGATTTTTAATTGGTGTTCATGAAATGCAGACAACTGGTAAGAAAACAAATAATATAAATAAATAAAATATCCATGGCCAGCAAATGAAAACAATCAGGAAAAAAATTAAATTTAGCATTGGGAAAATAATTCATAGTTTATGACTATGAAGGTTAAGCAAATGAACAGTAGTTCACTGTACAGCATGACAGCAAATGCAGCAATCCAGATGTCAAAGAGGTAAATATTAGTGTCTAATATTCACACCTTGAAAAATATGTTTAGATGCTAGGGAGGATTCAGAAAAGACCCACTAGAATAGGGTATCTTTTCCAGATCTAGAAATGGTTTTACTTTTTTAATTTGCTGTATTATTTAGCCCTTGGAAATCTGTCTATATGTATGCCTTAAAATATTACAGAAAACTTCATAATGTTTACTTTTTGTTTTATTTAGACAAGTTAATTACAGAAAGTCTGAAGTCTCTGATGTTTGGCTGCATTATGAATGGACATAGAAATGGGAAGGGGGAACCCAACCCAACATCTTTCTTTAAATACCACATAAGCTAATACACTAAAAAGCTAGAGGGACTCGCACTGCCACAGATGAAATAATAGCAACTAACGTTAAACACCATGAAAAACCACTGCTAACTCTTATCAGCACCAGCCTACTCTCTTGTTCAGAGGCTGGCAGCCTATCATTTAAACTCCAGTAGCATGAAGGTACATAATTAAAGAATGAATTAACTTTTTCATTAAATATTAGAGTAGATGATTATCAAATATATGGAGGGGTTCAGAAAACTGTAGCACTGTGTCCTTTAAAAGAAGCCAAGCAAGGAGCCTGCCTCGAAACACGTCTCTTTAATATCCAGAATGAAGTCAAGATTCTTTGTGGTTCCAAGTTTCTCAAATTCCAGAGAAGAAGACACCCCTCCCAATTAGAACTGTGAAACAAACCAACTCTAACTACAGAATGCATTGAAACCTTTTTGCTCTGATTTGCATTAAAATAAAGTTCCTACTCCATATGACTGTCAGTCAGAAAGCACAGCTTAAGCACATGTAATGCAATTATATAAGGCACCTGGCATGGTGACCTGAGGTGTTCAATCTTCTGTGTCACTCTAGCAGATCAAAAGAACTATTGTGTCAAGGATGCTTTGTTATATAAATGTCAGATGTGCTCCAGTGCTCAGAAGGGAATCTGGACAGTGGCCAAGAAAGAACCACAACAGTCCATAAAGATTCTTAATGGTACCTTGGGATCAGGGATTTGTCGATGTATAGATTTGCACCAAAAGCATTCAAAATAAATATATTTTGTTTATAAAATTTCTATCTTTTATTTATATATAAATACCTAAGGTCATTTTTTACCATGCCACCCAAAGGAGGAACTTACTTTCTTCAAGATGCTTTTCAATTAACCAAAAATGTCATCCATTTTAATCCAACAGGGTTTTTTTTGTGTCACATCCCTTTCTAAATCATACAATACTTACAATAAAAGGGCATACAATCTACATTATATGACCAGTCAGTCAAATTAAAAATATATAATAGCTATCCCTGTAGCCACAAAGTTTTAATTTACTTATATTCTGGAAGCTCAGTAAGTGTTCAGTAATCCCAAAAGATTCACCTAAAAAACTCTGTGGTACAACTTGATACAGAACTAATAACACAACTTTCTGTGTTGTTAACCTCAGATCTCAAATGTTTCTGTCACATATGTTCAGTTAAATTTGAAGATGTCATGTAAAATAAAAGGCATTTGAGCTACTGGCTAGACTTGAATGTGTGTGTGTATGAGAAACTGAATATATATGCACTGAGAAACTATCTATTTTTATATATAACTTAAAAAAAAATACATATTATCTCATAAAATAATTTTACTACAAAATTATGTTTAGGGGTGTTTTTCCACTCCAGTTGGGACACTAGTGAATATGCAAGTTTATTAGAACAGCTACTCCACTTTATAGCATGACGATTCACATACATACTTTTAGTTTAGCCAAAGCACATCTTAAGTGAGTTGAGACTTATGTCTAACTTCAAAAAAACTTCTAGAATCTGAATTCCACAGATTGATTACATCACATAGTTAGAAACTCAACTTTATGAGAAAGAGCTTAAATCTTACCTGAATTTCATATAAGTGGGCAATGTGAAACTGAACTGTAAGAGTGGGAAAAATCAAGATTATTAGTTTTAATGAAAAAAGCAACATCATGTTTTTTCAAGTGAGCGATAAAAAAATGTTTTAAACGTATCAATGCAAACCCAAGTCAAATTACATTTTGAAGATACACCAAAAAAGTATTTTTTTACATTGATATTCATGCCCAATATAAAAGAGTGAATGAATATGTACCCTAATAAAGTATTAAGACTGTAAACAGATATTGCACAAGGGCAGTCCATGGATTTTTTTTTTTGTATTCTGAAATGCAGAGTCCATTAACCTTCCAGTAAAAGAGCAATAAAGTCTCATTAAGCAGAGATGCACAAAAGAATGCATGTATTACTTTCTGTACCTAACTGAGTTAGAAATAGAGAATTTTTTTTATTTTTATTCAACTGCCAAGGCACAGACTAGCTGGGTTACAGAACAGAAAACCACATTATTCACTGCCAGCTTTATACAGGATCTTAAATGTACTTTTTTTTTTTCTTTTTTAGGAATTACCTTTACCCTGTTAAACTGAATTAGAAGCATTACTTGCAGATTATATTTTTATTATTACTGTAAAGCATCTCAAATTCTTCATACAAATTGTAAAGAACGCTGTAACACTACTAGCAGCTCTTGCAGGCAAGAAAATTGCTGGATGGAGAAAGAAAACGAAAGTTGTTCAAGAGTAAAAACAGAGGGAAAATTAACCTCATGCTTCTCAAATCATGAAAGAAAAGGGGGAGTGCCTTATCTTTAAGGCTTCAGAACTGCTAACTTGGACTAGCCATCGACTGGTAGACAGCTAAAGCTAGCTGAGATGAATGTAATCTTAACTCCGATTTGATGAGGAAAGAAAAATCCCTTTGAGCAGACTTTTGCATGATGTTCTTGCAGACTACAAGTAAGAAAATACCTCTGTTTGAGCCAAACACAGATTTCTTTCTCTTGAAGCTACAGAATACTGTAACATGGGTTTATACAGGTAATTTGAAGTTCCAGGGTTTCTCTCTGGGTCATAAGAGAGGGGAAAAGCTCCCTTTGTGCACTGCTTTGTCCTTCACTATAAAGAAAATTGCCTAGTACACTTCAGAAACCAGGTCATAATGAAATGCATCATCTAAAATTTTAATAAACTTTTTGTGTTCCTTGCTAAAGGGCACATAACACACCCATTACATTCACCACATTGTCAGACTTCACTTTGTACTGATGAAAGAAAACCCTCTGCTTTTGTTTCGGGAGTTCATTTTACTTTTTTTGCCCTCCTAGCAAAATCCCCTCAGTGTAAAGCTAGAAAAGAAAGCCATGCCATGCATGGGAAAAAAATTAAAGGTGTCAATACAGACTGCCTAAATAGAAAGAGGACATCCTTAGTTCTCAAACATTCCTACTAGAAAAACACTCACTGTAATGCTGTTCCTCACTTAACCTTCAGAAATGCAAGGTGTAGTATTAAGGCAGTCTCAAGCATTTATGTGGCAGTACCCCTACACACTGTGTCAAGTGCATGGTTCTCCTTCCACTACACAGTACCAGAGAACCTGACAAAGCAACTAATTCCTTGGGTTTGCCAGGCACAGTGCCCAAGGCCGTGGGGCAATGAGGCCCTTACACTGCACTGTATCTCTACATAAATCTGGGGCAAAGGGGACTGTGAGAAACGGTTAGATAAACCTTACAAAAACTCAGAGATACCGTGAAAACGGATAAAGTTAGTCAGAAATAATAAGAACTAACATGAAACATAATGAAGAATCATGTAACTGGTGATTACAACAAAAGCCTATTGCCTTAGGAAGAGTTCTGCAAGTAAGTTTACAAAATTACCTATGCCTACTCCTGATAAGTGACAAGCCTATGAAGGATACCTTGTAGCACAGCTGGCTCCTCAGTAATACATAGCCAGCAATTTCACCCATGTGAAAAAAACAAACCTTTTCATTACCCTCGCTGATAGAACATTCTGTATTCTACACAGCTCTGAATTAAAGGAATAAAAAAAAGCTTTAAAATACTTTATGCAATGCTTCTGAAGTTAGACTTAGGAGTTAATGTAAGCTCAACACCAAGAACAGCATGAAGGTTACCTTACAAACTGAAAGAAGTTAATTTCCTTCACAACTGTCTGCCTTTTAATTCTTCCAGCTTCCAAAACATGTAGGCACATACACTTATGCCTGCAAACAATTCCACTGCCTAATAAATAGCTTCAGGATGCTATTTAACAACCTACAGTATATACTGCATGTGACAGGTCATATGCTACACTAAAAGATTAACATGTTCAAGTTCAGGTTAAGACATAGTTGGCATCCAATAAAACAATCAAATAATGTTTCGTACTTTCTGTTATGTCAACAGCATAAGACTGATGATGAATTTTATAACTATAAATTTAGATGGCATGAAAATTATCACTGAAAAATGACAGATTACCAAGATGACACAAAGTTTTAAATAATTACTATTAAATGTGTCATGGCACAAGCACTACATTTATAAATAAATAAAGGAACAGTCAAATAGTATTTCTCCTCCACAACTCATGTCTTCAGAGCAACTACTAAACTAAATCTCAGTCTTTAGTTATTCCATTTATTAAAATAATCCACAACTCTACTGGAGTATCTGTCTCCATGGACAGATGGAGACAGGTTTTGTAGTCTCCCTCTCTCAGTATCAATTCTTTTCTTTTTGAAGAATTGGTTCAATAAAAATTGATGGAGCTGTTTTGTTTTTTTTTAAATCTAAAATCAAATAAATTGAAATACTTATAGGTTACTTACTTTCAGCGTTAGACAAAGTGCAGGGATTGCAGTCAATCAAAGCTAACTGAAAATGCTGAAAAAAACAAAAAAGAATTATTTGTTTTGCATACAAAATACTAGCATGTTGGCAATTTACTAAGAATAAATCAAATTTGTACTTGAAAACGAGTATCATATTTTACCATGTGTCTTAAAGAAAACAATTTTCAATTTCTGTTCAACTGTTTACTAGAGGCAAGTATGAGGTTCTTTTATTGCAAACATGTTGCAAAGCTAGTAATGTAAGATGGCAACAGACATCTTCACAAAACAACTGGGATAGCATGGGGAAGAAGGATTGCATCAATGAATGGTCACAACAGGAAGATCTTGTTTTCCTCTGAACATAAACTGAAAATATAGTCATACTGCTCAAAGCCTCATGGAGATAAACATTGAAGCTATTTGTCTACCTAGAAAAAGAGAACACTCTCCTTCAAATTGAGTGATTTGATGTCTTTAAAAAAAAAAAAAGGCATCTCTTGTCAAAAATCACTTAAAAATTAGTAACTTTACATAAAAACAGGAGTCCCTAAGGAGTTTGTAAGTTCTTACATTCTCTCCTCCAGGTTTTAAAGCCATTTCAGTTAAACACTAAAGCTTTTTTATTTTTAATCACTTTTCCTCAAGAGATGCAAAAAATACACTTTAAAACATCTCTCTGTTCTTAAGTTCTGAGCCAAGCATTTCATTCTTCCAGGAAGGTCACACAAGCAGAATAATGAAGTCTGCCTGCCAGAAAATCTGCATGTAAGTAACCATTTCACAAGTGTCATGCTAATCCAGGGATTGCTATTTACAGTTTGAAATGCAACCAAGTGTGTTAAAATGAATGGAACAAGCATACAAACTCAAGTGCCTCTCAACTTTTCCATAAACTTCAGAGAAAATTACTGTAGAATTTCAATTAACACATTAATTCAACAGAGAATACAGGAACCTAAGAGATAGCATTAAAAAGTACTATTGTTTATTAGTAGTTATCTACAAAATACAATTTCAGGTGGCTTCTAATTGACATAACAATACTGATGATATAGTCTATTTTATTTTGTGAGCTGAAAAATTATAATTTAGCTCCAGCTGCTCAGGATGCCAAACAAGGTGGCATTAGGAGCTTTTTTGGGTAGCTGGGAAGAAACAAAAAATCCTTATTAATGGATGTATATGCAACTCGCTTTCAGTATTGTCATATTCAGAAATACTAGATACTATACAACTTTTCTCATGGTTCTAAAAATCCCTCATGTATAGCATGTTACTATAACATCGTATGAGTTTAACAGGCCACCAAATTATAAATAAACATTTTAACAGAAAAACTATTAGAAAATTAATGCATTATCCATAGCAAAGCATAAAAAACCAATGCTGACACTCTCCTGAGCTCTGCGCAGCACAAGGATGCAGTTTACCTCCTCACTGATTTCTATCAATATAATTAGTAATATGCAACAGTTTTTAAAAATTGAGCAAATTCAAGTTGAATGAGACCACAAATTTATTATCTTTAATGAGCATTTCAGGAATATCATTTGCAGACGAGAGCACAGAAAACAATGAACTCAAAGATACATTACTTGTAAAATAACTTTATAACCTTAGAGCAAGAATTCAGTAATAGCTTATAAATATTAACTACTAACTTATTTCTCTGACTTGTCTGTTCCTTTTTTTAATGTTCAGCAGTAAAGAGAACCTAAAATCTATCCTCACTTACATTGCAATGCAGGTTGTGTGCCTCAGAGACATCCTTTAGTCGGTTACCATAGTAATTCTACTAAGCAAGCAACTTAAAGAGAAAAAAGGACTAAATAAAAATGCTCTATTTTACATTGCATTTTGTCTGACAAAAGAAACAAAGGAACTGACCAATATACTTTGGCCTGTATATTGACTATACTGATCTATATATTACAAAATCCGCTTTGCTCAAATGTGTCATCTTGCACCATCACTAACAACTAATATGAAAAGATAATGCAGAAAGGAACAGATTTGCTCTCACCTAGCAATGCTATTACAAAATATAAGCACATCTAAAGAAAAACGATTGACAACTGATCTGTAGTAGCTTTCCAGAAGGGTTACTGCAGTGAGATTCACTGAGAGAAAGCAGGAAACCATATAAGAAAATCTAACTATTTTAATATTTAATTACGCCAATAGTATCAGTGCTGTACAGTAAAAAATTCAGGAATATTCTCACCGATGCCTCCTAAAATTTAAATTCGTACTGCTTTACTAGCTGGCTTCTAAATGTCAAAATCCACACTGAGAATTTTCTAAGTGTACTAAATTTCTGCTTGCACTGTTCACCAAGCTGCAAACAGCAAGGAAATTGATAATCCAAAGCTCGTAACTACAGCAAAATAAGCCATTTGCACTAAACTACTACCACAAAGCAATACAGAGAAAATCCAGAACCTTTCAAAACAAGAACATTTGAAACACACATACATGAGAAAACCTACACCTCTTGCCATTTAAATAATATATCGCTCACCATTAAGCATTCAAAATCAGACCAAAAAAAGCATGCATGCATTCTAAGGCAAAAAACTCATCAGCCAAAAGCAGATCCACTAGCCACAATTTCCAGCACCAAAAAATTAGAAAAACAGTAATAATTTCCAACTTCCATTTCTGCAACAAACAGAAGCAGCTAGCAAACATCTGCACCTCTCTCAAATATTGCAGCACTGAAGCCGGCTACTGCTGTGTGAAATAGTTATTATGCAGGAGAGGCCGCTGCAGTTCGGAGACGACATACAATACCTCAAGGCAGGCAGCAGTCTATAGAAATTCAAATCCTGAGTAAGAGGATTTACCTAGAAGGCAGTGTTCTGAATGTTAAAAAGTAACAGGCTCTCTTGAAGAGCTGCAGCTCAAGTCATTATATACCTTGAATTGCAGCCATCTGTAATTGCACAATTATCTATAGCCTATTTTGTCTCCTCTGGAGTCCTTGACTCCCTCTGATTGTGGAAACAATTTCAAAGGTTACCTTTCCAAGGATCAGAGGTACAGTGGATTGCAAAGAAACAGTACTGATGAAACCATTAGGACTGGTAGTAAAACAACAGTAATCTGACACAGATTTAGGTAACTCAGTATGTTTTCACTACTAGAATCAAACACCTAACAAATTAGTCCTTTAAAATTTAAGAGACAAGTACACAGGATTTTGTTGTTTCTTTAATCAATAAATGACCAACACAAAAGGAACTGTTTTCTTCTTAGTGCACGATATGCAGCACTACTTCTGTTTACAACCAAGCCTGATACCTCCAAATAGTGATTCCACTCCCTCCTCCTCTCGAGGATGGCATTAGCAAGCTTAATAGCTCTCGGTTTCCAATTTATTTAGCAAGCAAGGCAAGCCATCATTTGAAACCTGACAATTCTCACACACTTACCATGAAGGAAAGCTCCATCATGACTCAGTAAAACTGTCAGGAGATGGCTTTTTCTGCCTATGTGACCTAAGTGCGATGCTTATGTTCCTCAGAGCAGCCTTTGTTCAGAGAAGTAGGACACAGAGAGAAAGCCTTGCATAATCAGCAGTGGCAAAGTGCCAAGCCTCCATTTGACAGCCATGTCGGGGGCCAGGGGAGAGGGTCAGGAGAGGACGTGATACGTGTGCTCCTGTCACCTCAGCTCACTGCTCTGCTCTCCAGTGTCTTCTGAATTCACAATCAATTCAGCTTCTAAGATGAAGGTTTGTGTAAACACTAAATTACTTCTATCCAGCATAAAAAACAAACAAACAAAAATCCCACAAAAAGCCTCTTAAGACTCACTGACAGGGCAGAAGGAAGCTGCCTGAGAGCAGAAGAAACAAAGGTCATAATGTATACATAAACCCAGTAAGAGCAGTGTGTTCAGAAGAATGTCCTGTTTTGATGAGCTCCATCTGAAAAAATTATTTTTTAACAGAGAGACCAGCATCTTATACAGTACATCTGAGTGTTTTTCACAAAGCTATCTTAATACTCACGGGGCCTGCATGTTTTATTAACTTCAGATTGTGCAGCATAAAAATTTAGCTAGTCCTGTGTTACAGCCCGAAGTAGAGCTAGCAGCAACAAAATACCACAGGGAAAGTGGATGACTGGAGGCCTGCACCCTCTGTGTGCTGCACAACCGCAGAGCTGAAGGGACCTGAGCTGGGGTCATTTCAGGACCCGCAGCTCTCTGCCTCCAGCCCACTCAACCAGCCAAGCTGAACCGAAAACACAGGATAATCCTTGCAGGGTATCTGTGGCTACCTAGTCGGTATTCACAGCGAGGTATTACTGCGTGCCCTGAATGCCAACCTTTCAGTTACAGGTAATAAACCTGGACCAAGATCCACCTCCCACAAGGAGAGGGTCCACAAACAAAATACATGCACCATCACCAATACTCATGAACATTTGAATTCTCAGCTTTGGAGTCAACTATTTCTTCTCTCATGATTTGCTCTCCCCACCCCTCATGAAAAAGATGACACATAGCATGTTAATTCAATTTTAGCATTTACTTCTCTTTGTAATAATTGTATTTCTAAATACACCTACAGTTTTCTTTTATAGAAAACTCCAAAACACTCAAAAATCCAAGCAAAACTAAGTAAATGATAACAAAAGAAAACATTTAACAGGCCAGACCTTGTGATATCATGATCCACTGTCAAAACCTGCTGCACTAATAACTCTCTTGCAATTTGATTACAGAGCTTAAATGTTTAATCAGAAAATTTTCATGGTTTTACTTCTTATGTATTTCTCTCTATCATATGCATATGCTAACTACAAAGACTTAAGAGAGCATCTTCATTTCCAAATGCTGTTTCCAATACACTTACATTTTTATTTAAATAATCTTTGGACTAATTTCATCTTGCTTTCCACAAAATGCTTTTAGGTGAAGTGCTTGAAATCTTGGATATCCATGTTGCAGCAGCTAAAGCTCTTTGTTCTGTCTTTTACCTAGAAATTATTTTCTAGTAGAACTACAGGCATAAAACTACACAGAAGAATTAAAAATTTC